ACACCTAGACTCAGATCTTCTTTATCCAAATTTCAACTTTTGATATGTTGTCGCTCTCTCTAAAACTTAGAAAGTTTTTCATGGAGACTCTGTCTTAAAAACAAAACAAACAAAAACAAAAATCAAAAACAAACAACAACAACAACAATAACAAAAAAACCCCAGGAACTTGATAACAGAGTACAATATACACCCAAGTCTAAAAAAAAAAAAGTTGTATTTATGAGTAGATTACCTTGAGCAGTCTGGTACTAGGAGAACTGATCACTTAGAAAAAGCTAATTTTGTATATTTGTGAATGAAGGAAACATGCTACACTACAGTGAAGCATTACAAATTACTCCCCATTCAAATCACAGAAAGGAATTTTGCACGCTGCACAGTTTCACACCTGAGAACTTAATTTTGTGGAAACTGAAAATGAAGTTGTTTGAAGTAGCTTTGGTTTCAATCTTGTTTTCAAAAGTGGGACAAGGATGTCATTCTGTGAAGTTTCTACAAAAGTAATTATGATTTAAGCATGTGAAACAGAAGATTGGAGGTACTTTCAAAACTAGCTTCACATTGAAACTTCACAAACATTTGTCAGTTTGGTAATAAGACAAAAACAAAAACAGTAACAAAACAAAGCCCAGGAAAACCACAGATCTAATTTAGGAAAATCCAGAAAATTCTGCTAAGATCATGAATACATACATGGAGCATTTATACAGTAAAAAAAGTTAACCCCTTGTTCTTAGCTTCTCTGCTGCTTGACATAAGATCTGAGACTAGGTAATTTGTGAAGAACAGAGATGTACTTCTTAAAGTCAGGAGACTGGGGACCCAGTGTCAGAATGCTGCCAAGACATGGTGAGGGTGCAAGTCTTGAGCTTAGGGTTCTCTTCTTCTTCTTAAAAAGCCACAAATTCCAATATGGGACCCCACAGTTCATCCAACTGTAATTACCTCCCTGATGTCTGTCCTCCAAATATCACAACACATTCTGCAGAAAGAGAAGCAATTTCTTTAGCCTATGCTCTCAGGGACTCATGCTTTATACTTTTAAAAGAGAAAGTGCACTACAGCATTAAAGAAGAAAGGATACAGGGCTGGAGAGATGGCTCAGCGGTTAAGAGCACTGACTGCTCTGGCGGTGGACCTGGGTTCGAATTCTAGCATTCACATGATGGCTAACAACCATCTTAGCTCCAGTTCCAGGGAATCCAGCACCCATTCCTGACCTCCACTGGCACTGCATGACACAGGTGAACTTACATACATGCAGGCAATACACTCATACACATAAAATAAAAATGATAAACTATTTTTTTAAATTAGAAAGGACAACTTTATTGACTGATACTGGCTAAATAGCCACTACTTAGATTGATCTTCTATGCATGTTTTCCTCAACATAGCTCATTCTTAGTCACTTACATTTTTAATCATAAAAACTATCTCTTTGCAATGATATCATGTCTGTGTCTCTGTGGATGGGAGACAGCACAGGCAGTAAAACCACAGAAGCTGGAAAGGCCTGATCTTGTATGAGGTGCTTAGAATTTCTTACACATAGTGGGGCCTATCACCATTCAAGCTTCCAGCAACTACTGCCAATTCCTATCTGCAACCTGGGGGTCTCTAGACTTGACAATATGTTTCATAACTTTTAATGTAACTAAGAAAAATATAAGTAAATAAATCACAGCAAACACCAATGCAATTATTGGTTATGAAAAAATGCCTGGGAAACAAGCCAGTGGAGTTGTGAAATACAAAATGCAATATAAATATATTTTAACTTTTTAAGACAGGATTTTGAAAATAAACTCAAAGAAAATTTCAAATTAACTTTCAAATAGCAACTCTCCTGTTGCTGTGCTCTACAGTGGCCCGACTCCAGTCTCGGGGGGCAGGGGATGAGTAGGCGCGGAATCAATGACACAGATTCGGGGAGATGCGGCTCAGTAGCAGGCTGCCAGCACGCTTGTTTGTTGTGTACAAAGGGCTTTCCTATATACCCCCCAAACCTCCCCCATTGGCCCTGAGGGTTGAGCTGTATATTGTCTATTGGCGTGGCGTTGCGTCATCTGTCTCTAGCCCGGGCAGCAGGTATCAGGTTAGCAGTTTGAGGAAGTAGGTCTTGTTAGACTGGCTCACCTGAACAGAAGTCTCCAGGTCCCATATGGTATTCTGGACTATCCCCACAGGCCCCTCCTACACTCTCCCATATTTTATTACATTATCAAAAATAACAGGGACCTAACAGCTAGGCATTTTTTCTCTCATTCATATTTTCTAGTAACAGTATCAACTTAAGGCACTCAGAAGTTTTAATGTAAAGATGAATAATTAATAATTTATGAGGCAAAAACTCATACCAGTAACTATTTGCCAAACAATGACAATAATTTAAAGGTAGTTAAAGCTGGAGAGATGACTTGGATCGTTACCAGCACATACTGCTCTTCCAGAGACTCAAGTTTGAATTCCGGGCATCCAAAACAGGCAGCTCACAATCACTTAACCACCTGTAACTGCAGCTCCAGTGGATCAGTATTCTCTTCTGGCCTCTAGGAGTGTATACACACACACACACACACACACACACACACACACACACGCATGCACAAACGCACACACACACACACACACACACACACTAAATAAAATGAATAAAGGTGCTCAAAAATCAAATCTTCTTTATAATCAAATGACAGCAAAGTTTAATGAGAGCTTAACACATGCCACATTCCTTTCTGTATAATTAAAATTCATCATAAACTTTAGACTGACAAGAGCCATTAAGATTAATGGCCTATTTAATCTCATTTTCCTTAAACAATAAAAATTAGTCAGCAAGAATAAATACCCTACCCAAAGTTAACCGATTAATAAGAGAGCTGGGTTGTGAATCCAGACCTCTGTAAAATACCACAGTAAGCAATGACTATATTAACAGTTGGAGTGCTGATTACATTATTAAATAAACTCATTCAAGGCATCAAGGACAGTTCCACAGACAAAATATGAAAATGTGTGTTAACTATGTATGCCCTTCAGGAGCTTCAAATCTCATGGGTGTTGATAAAATAAATATCTTTGATGGAAGATATAGTTTGGTATGGGATTTTTTGTGATCTAAAAAAATATTCAGAGAAATTCTGAAGCTGTGAGTGGATTTAGGTGATAGGCTCGGCTCTCTTTTCTGAATAGGAAGCGTTCTTTTGAGTCCTCTGACAGATACACAGTAGTCAGATGTCGTGTGTTTGAAACCTTGATCTGGTCATGTGAAATTAACCTCTGGAACCCTTTACACCCAGCTGTTTTTGTCATCAACATTCAGTAAGAACATACACACTTTATTCACTATTTTTTCAGGAAGAGATTGGACATCCTTGAATTAGATTAAGCATACGAGTAATTTTCCAGAAGCTGACTAAAATGAAGGAGATTCTGGAAATCATAAGAGCTTTAGGAACTTTAGGAATGGAGACTGAGACACTATGTAGGTCAGTTTGGATCCCCTGTTCGATGGTTGGATTGGTCAGGCATGAGCCTACAGTCAGCAAAGTGAGAAATGTGATTGGACTGGCAACCCTCCAGAACCATGCAGCTCCCAAAAGAGCAGGCTTAATGACAGGCACCATTGGCATCTAAACAACTACGACAAACAAAAGAACTAATGCATAAAACAATAACTGACATGAATGATTATGTCCCATGTTACGGCCAGGGTTTCAAAGCATATTCCATATGTGGAAAGTGTGCCATGCACAGGGCACTATTAATATGTACTGTAGAAGAGGAGTGAGGAAGTACTGAAATGTGCTGAGAGATCTTTGAATGGGTGGCCTCTAAGTTATTTTGAATTGTATCAACAAGTCAGAAACAGTGCACTTCAAAGAACAGAGGGTCACGTACATTAAGATAGCCAATCTAGATTACAAGAGGGAGAGAGGTAGGATGCAATTTCATCAATAAGCCATTTCAAGTGGAACCTCAGCAAAGACCTCAATTCTACAGGTGGCCATCAGAAGGAAAACAAAAACGAAAAGAAACAAGCAAACAAACAAACAAAAAATCTTAAGCAGAAGCGAGGCACTGCAAAGGCAGAGCTCCCCATCCAGAGATGGAGATAGGGCACGAAGAGTTGCCCATTGCAAGATTCAGACATGTCTAGCTTTTTGACATTGTGACACGATGTTGTCATCCACAAAGTTCATACTTGAGAAGCAAGCAGTGCACACACACATGTCACAAAAACTCATAAAGTTTTAAGTAAGTTTATGGTGTTTCTTTTCCAGCCACATTATAGCTGTTCTGAAATACATCCAGCCGCTGAGCTGTGGGTTGAATGCACCTGGAAGTTGATGGTATGTGGTAGTTACATTATTCAGCTTTCTGTTACTATAACGACATATCTGAGATTTAATTTATAAAAAGAAAAAGGATTCTTTGCCTGACAGTTTTGGAAATTCCAGTCCATGATGGATAAGCCTCACTGTTTTAGCATGTGGCAGGACATCATGGGAGGAGCTTGTGGCAGCGAAAACCTACTTGTCTCTCAAGCCAGGCAATAAAGAAGGGAAGTGGAAGGGGTTAGATCCCCACAAGCCTCTTCTAGGGCACATTCTCATGAAGTGGGCCTCACTATCCAAAAATTCTACCACCTGCTATCAGGCCGTCCTAGGACAAAGATTTTTAGACACCAACCTTTGGGAGACATTCGACATCCAAACTATAGTGGTAGCTAAAGGGTGAGAATCAGTTTCAGGGAGAATGATGATGAATTTTGTTTGGAACATACTGAGCTACAGCTGGGGATGAATTTTTGTAAGGGGCTGGAAGGTCATATTTTGGCACCATACTGCATGAGAACACTTGGGAAGGGAAAACTCAGTCTTCTGAAACTGGTAACTGTAAAAAGAGAGACAGAGTATTGTGAAAGAAAAATGAAGATACCATATACTGATAACAAAAGTTTAATACAAAATGAGTTCAGCCAACAGATTTTGTAAAATTTTAAAAATTTAAATTTATTAGGCTTTATTAGTAACACAGGTACACAGAGTAAAGTTCAGGAATTCACCAATGATGGTCACCAATATGTGCTTCTTTGTGGCTTTTACACCACAGTTGTCATCATTCAAATTTACCAGATTATAGTCAAATTTCATACATAGCTTCACAATGTGGACCTTACAAGTCTTCCATAGTAAAATGAATGAAAACATATCTTTCATGAAAGGCACATAAAAGAATCTAACTAACACTTAAAGAATTTTGATAACTTTAAATTTCTTTACATTACAAAGAAGGGAACAAATCCCACGTAGGAAACAGATACAAATGTAGTTTCTGCTTCTCCATACAATTACGTAGGCAAGTACTTCAACAAAAAGACTCCACGGAGATGACAACACAAGTGGGAAAGTATTACCAGCAAAGCTTACTGAAAGACTTAGTTCTTCAGGATGAATGAAAAAGGAGAGATGAGCTAGGGAATGCTACTCATTTTGCTGAAACATGGCCACAGAGACACACTTAAATGATCAAAAGAAAAATAATGCTAGCAAAGTTCAGTATCTCCTGTTATGTAACACTTATTTGAGCACACACACACACACACACACACACACACAATCACTGATCCTGTTAAATACTATTATTCAATTTCTAAGTATAATTGTTCACTTAATGTCAGAAATAAGAGCATAATTTAAAAAGAATGTAAGTTCAAGCAACTGGAGGGAATTTGAGTATCTAAGGGGAAAAATAATTTGGCATAGAGTGATAAACTTGAAACTAGTTACTTATGAATTGAAAGCTTGCATAATATCAGCAATAGAGTATTTTCTACCATCTTCCAAACAAGGAACTATCACGTGTGCCTAGGTACAAGGAATTTCCCAAAGGAAATACACAAATTAATGTCTTAAAATTCATATGCTAAAAATTTTTACCCACAAAAATTTCTTTCAATACCCACCTCAACTCAGTTGTAAATAAAAATGCAGTTATTTAAAGTGTAGAAAATTAATCTGTACCACCTGTAAGGCGAGGTATGAATACCACCCAGATACTAAGATTAAAAGTGAAAACAGACCAATGGAATAAAAACTAAGTGTTTTGAATTCTAAGATCGTATATCCTCAAAAAACTGGAGTTTTAGTTTCTCAAACCAAATCTAATATAGAACCAGGGCAGCATGCACTCTTTAAATAAAAATTAAAATGCATATGATGCTTAAATAATTGATCCAAAGGTAGGTGTACTCACCCTCTTTACTGTTTCAATGAAACACATAAAATTTAGAGCACAAATCATGTTATTAAAATAGTCTGTGCAATGTTCGTACAAACAACATTTTCATGAATACAAGTATACATGAAATCAAGGTAGGGGCTGTGACATTTCCTACTATTAATCACTGTACCTAAAAATTTACAGGGACATGAACATAAATAAAGCTGTTTAAAACTGGCAAACACAGTAATAGTCTGTCATTCAGTACAAGGTAGTTAATATTTATGTTATTTCCAAAGCCATCACACTAGAATTGTAAGTTGCCACTCTTAAAACCTAAAAGTAATGTGGAAAATTAAAGTTATAAATACATCTTACATACATTTGCATATTTACACTTACACAGAAATCACCATACACTAGAGTCCAGCTTTCACACCACACTTCACTTTCACATCACAGGACCCTCTTTCACCTTTAAGACAGGTCCTTTTATCACGTCCAGATAAAGACACAAAACAGAACAACTTTGGTCAGATCCAGGATGCATTTGCTGTATACTACATTCTGTGTTGCTGGGAGACTCTAGTCTAGAGAGATCCATATATAAGTACTCATTTGGTTTGAAAATGCATTTTTACCATCAACTGCAAAACTTAAAAGAGACCACAATCTTTCAGGTTATTTTTTATGATGACATCTGTTACAGCATCAAAAACAAACTGCACATTCTTTGTATCTGTGGCACATGTGAAGTGGGTGTATATTTCCTTCGTGTCCTTTCTTTTATTGAGATCTTCAAACTGACACTGAATATATGCAGCTGCCTCTTCATATGTGTTTGATCCTGAGACGGTACAAAGAAAGAAGAAGAAGAAGAAAAAAAAAACACACACAAAAAGTTAAATCTAATATGGTAAAGCAAAATGTCCCTTAAGACACTGAGGTCAGTTTTCCACATACAAAATACATGTACTCCTTACTGCACTTTTCCACACAGAACAAAATGATGTTTTCTGAATGAAAAAATATCCTTGGTAAACTGCTTTTCTTGAAATAAGCTAAATTTCTTAGTATTTGGCTATCTTTAAACTTAAAAACTCCTTTGCACGCTAGTGTGTTTGCTGTGATCTCTGTTCCTGCTTACATCTCCAGGGCTCAGGTCTCTTTTCTTCTGCTATCCTCTAGCACCTAGATCCCCAACCTGAACTGCTACTGGATTTCTCAAGTTGAGGCATGCCACTGCACTACTAGCCCACTGGTGAATCCACAATGCTGACTGAATGCTGACCAGCATTTCTTTTCTTTCCTACACACTCTTTGATTATCATTTCTTGATAACTTTTAAAATTTTATTCATTTATTTTTATTTTATGTGTATAAGTGCTTTACCTGCATGTCTGTAAGCATACCCATGTCATGAAAAGCCCACTGAGACAAGAAGACAGCACTGAATCCCCTGGAGCTGGAGTTACATAGTTGTTAGCCACCAAGTGGGTGCTGGGAACCAAACCCAGGTCCTCTAGAAGAGCAGCCAGTGCTTTTAACCACTGAGCTATCTCTCTATCCCTCTTGATCATTTTTTTCTTTCTTTCTTTTCTTTTTTTGGTCTTTTTGAGATAGGGTCTCCCTGTAGCCCCAGCTGTCCTGGAACTCACTATGTAGACCAGGCTGGCCTTGAACTCACAGAGATCTGCCTGCCTCTGCCTCCCGAGTGCTGGGACTAAAGGTGTGTGCCACCACGCCTGGCATTTGATTAAAAAATTATACCAATCTATTACGTGGTGAAATTCTATTGGTACTAAAACAGTAAACGGTGTGCTCCTGCTTTCAGGTAAGAGGCTAAAGGCTCCATCTGAAAGAGAAAATTTCAGAGATTCTTTGGCATCATCTAACAGGAAGCACACACATACCATGACCCAGCACTTCACGTGCAGGCTTACGTGCAGAATTATAGGCAGTGGCCAGGGAAGATACACAGAGAATGTTAAGGGAGCATCATCTCCTTCTTTAGGAAGCATCTTAAAAGTTCAACAGCTGTAGGTGGCCAATAAATTCTGGCAGACTCATAAGACTAATTGCTACAGAGAAATGAGAATTTAAGCATTACTGAAGTGCAGAGTGACAGAGATGAATCTTGTTAACATTCTATTCAATCACAGAGACCAGACACAAAAATGTGTACACTGTGTGATCCAACTGATGCTTGAAAACAATTGAGATGCATGGGTGAGGACAAAAGTCAGACTAATGCTTATTTTCTTGGAGAGGAGGGAAGAGGCTAATTAGTTGTGACCAAAAGGGGTTATAAATGGGGTTTTGGAGCACTGGGAGAGTTCCAGTACTTAGGTAGTAGAGAGTGTTTTTGTACTCTTTACCTTGTGTGTTCACTTTTAAATATGCTTCACACTAATGTGAATGTTTGTGCATGTATACTTAATATTGTGATAAAATATTTTATATGCTGTTTAAATCTCTCTTTTGTAATAACCCCAAATTACTTATTTGGCTTTCAAGGTCCTCCTCCCCAGCGTATTTTTGCATTCTGGTTTGCGGTGCTCTATTCCACATGGAGGACTCAGTCCATGTCATAAGGGTTGAGTGTCACAAACTGTCCCTGTGTTTCTACTGCACTATTTCTCCCTTGTCCTTCACCATTGAGTATCTCTAACTCCACATCTGCTCAAAATAAATAACTTTCCTTTACCGAACCCAATCCAAATGAGCTCTTTATCACTTAAAATTTCCTACTGACAATAGAAACAGCTCTTCAGTTTGGGTTATACTGCTTTACTGGGTCCCAAGTACTTGTTCAGCACTGGTTCTCCTAAACTGCATGTGAACACTATATCCTGCACATTCCCAGCCCTTTCACCCTTACTATGCATAACACAGTGAATGCAGCATGAGCAAGGCCAGAGGAAGTCTATGCTTAGTGTGCTATGGCAGCATAGAGTCTAAAACCAGAGCCCCTGAATAGGTTTATATTTTATTTTTTATATTATTACTATATAACCATATACTTTTACAAATAAAATTTTATCAAATCATAATATGGTTGATGCCTAAAGTTCTGATGCAAATATCAGTCTCATTGGGCCAAAGATGCTACTGATACAAAACTACTTAACTAATTACAAGTGTGTCGGGGGAAGTAGCTCATCTGCAACACACATTCTGGGTAGCTAAAGTGCTATACCCCAAGAGCTACCAAATACATGAGAGAACCACTGAACACATTCTTTTTTCTGCTTTTAAGCCTGAAGAAGAGAACCCTAAAATGTGTGTGTGTGTGTGTGTGTGTGT